GCGATCTCTGCTCGAGCACAAGAATGGCCGCTCGAGCGGATCTACGCTCGAGTGCAGGAATGGCCGTTCGAGCGGAAAAAAACAACTCCTAGTACTTTTACAGACGAGTGAAATTTCTGAAAGGTCGTGATCTCTGCTCGAGCACAAGAATGGCTGCTCGAGTAGACAAATAACTTTGACTGCAATTTTACTTTTTGCTTCAGGGGTGCTGCCCCTCGACCCCGCTCGGGTGTTGCCCCTCAACCCTTCTCGAGTGGAAAAAAAAAACTCTTAGTACTCTTGCAAGCGAGTGAAATTTTTGAAAGGTTGCGATCTTCATTCGAGTGCAAGAATGGCCGTCGAGCGGATCTACGCTTGAGCGCAGGAATGGCCGCTCGAGCAGAAAAAAATAACTTCCCCATACTTTTGCAGGCGAGCGAAATTTCTAAAAGGTCGCGATCTCTGCTCAAGCGAATCTACGCTCGAGCGCAGGAATGGCCACTGGAGCGAAAAAAAACAACTCCCGTACTTTTGCAGGAAAGTGAAATTTCTGAAAGGTCACGATCTCCGCTCGAGTGGACAAACAACTTCAACTGTAATTTTTCTTTTTGGTTCAGGGGCGTTGCCCCTCGACCATGCCAGGGCGCTGCCCTGGACCCGCTAAAGGGTGCTGTCCCTTAGACCCCCGTGAGCTGACCGGGTAACTCGATCCCCGACATAGTCAGTGAAGTGACAAACATGAAAGAATAGACATCAAAAACTTCTCTGCAAGGCACAATTCGGGTTGGATTCGCATCTAAAACTCATAGCCTCACTGAAATAAAAGATTGAATACAATTACAACTGAAAGGAGCTTTGTCAAACAAGATTGCAAAGAATAAAAACCTAACAAAAAGTTTATATGGCTTCTATCTATTTATTTGATTCACAAACATCTTGTGTTTATAATATTGCAAAATAAAGACATCTGTTAATTAAAGAAACAGACAATATTTAGGTATATGTTATTGTTACATATAATAGAGATTGAAGACCACCTACCATTGTAACTTTGACATTTATTGTTAGACCATATGCCTTATTGCATACCATTTAATTTATCTGAGATTGTACTAATGGATGTAGTATAATACTATCTGATAATATTATTGAAAAGATACTCCTGATGTTATATTTTTGCATACATCTGTTCATGACAGGGACACAGAGCTGAGCTATATAATGCCCGTGTTGCCAAATGCTTAGTTGCTTTAAAAGGACGTGAAAAAGGCAGTGTGGATGACCTGAAGAAAGCAGTTAAGTTATTCTTTCTTCGTTCTTGTAAATAAATTTTGGTTATGTTAGGTTTTTATTCTTGGCAATCTTGTTTGACAAAACTCTTTTTAGTTGTAATTGTATTCGATCTTTTATTTCAGTGAGGCTATGAGTTTTAGATGCGAATCAAACCCGAATTGTGCCTTGCAGAGAAGTTTGTGATGTCTATTCTTTCATGTTTGCCATTTTTTTTTCCGCTCGAGCGGCCATTCCTGCGCTCGAGCATAAATCCGCTCGAGCGTCCATTCTTGCGCTCGAGCGGAGATCGCAACCTTTCAAAAATTTCACTCACTTGCAAAAGTACTGGGAGTTATTTTTTTCCACTCGAGCGAGGTTGAGGGGCAGCGCCCCCGAAGTAAAAAAGAAAAATTACAGTCGAAGTTGTTTGTCCGCTCGAGCGACCATTCTTGTGCTCGAACGGAGATTGCGACCTTTCAGAAATTTCACTCGCCTGCAAAAGCACTAGGAGTTGTTTTTTTCCGCTCGAGCGGCCATTCTTGCGCTTGAGTGTAGATCTGCTCGAGCATCCATTCTTGCGCTCGAGTGAAGATCGAGACCTTTTAGAAATTTCACTCGCTTGCAAAAGTACTGGGAGCTTTTTTTTTTCCGCTCGAGCAGCCATTCCTGCGCTCGAGCGTAGATCCACTTGAGCGTCCATTCTTGCGCTCGAGCGAAGATTGCAACCTTTTAGAAATTTCACTCACCTACAAAAGTACTGGGAGTTATTTTTTTCCGTTCAAGCAGTCATTCCTGCGCTCGAGCAGGGTCGAGGGGCAGCGCCCCTGAAGTAAAAAGCAAAAATGCAGTTGAAGTTGCTTGTCCGCTCGAATGGCCGTTTGTGCGCTCGAGCGAAGAATGTTTGGTTCAAGAAATTTGACCTGGCTGCAAAAGTATTGGGAGTTGGGATTTTATGCTCGAGTGAAATTTCCTGCGCTTGAGTGAGGTTTGCTCCAGCGGTCATTCATGCACTCGAGCGAAGAACGCGATTTAGTTTTCTATAAATATGTGTTTCAGTCAAATTTTAGGGTACAGCTTCTAGATCTTCTTTGAAGGTTCTAGGGTTTTCCTCTGGGGCTATTTTGCTAGTTTTGTTTGATGTTTAATTGAGTATTTAACTCATGGTTTAAGAAGTATACATCAAAGGATTATTTGTTTATTCTATACAAAAGAGAGAGTTGTTCCTCGGTGGATTCCGTGGAATTTGGGCCTGAAGCTTTGGTGGATTCTAGAGTGGCTCATCGTCGTGGATTTGACATTGGTGTTGTGGATTCAACGTTGGGTAAGACGATTATGAGATGAAGACCGTGGTGGAAGAGGCATATAAGGGTCGGTTCAATTCAAGTGTAGATTCGCTAGGTACTTGAGAGTGAACTTGTGTAATTCCTTTTGTCTTCTTAGTGGATTGTTTTGTGGCTTTTGCCCATGGTTTTTTTATCACAATTGGAGGCGCTCCAATTGTGGTTTTTCACGTTAAAATCATTGTGTCGATTTGTCTTGATTGTTTAATTGGGATTGTTATTTACTTCTTAAAATTGATACATAATCACAAATTAATATCTAGGGGATTTCTAGATTTTTTTCACTTTTAACATAAACTAAGGAAGGGTTCCATAAATAAGAACCTGGCAACCACCTCGAAGTGTTTCCCAAACAAGATACTTCACTTGCTCCCTGCTGATAGTAACATCATTCAAATACTCTCTTGCCAATATAATCTAAAAGGTATGAAGAAATAAAATTAGTAATTAAATGACTCAAAGAGGCTGATTTCTGTGACTTAAACCCACACCACAGCCTGGGAAATATAAAAAGAATGAAAAAGATGTTTTGGCTTACCTATGAATAAGGTAGAGCTACGTATATATAATGAAACAATATTACAAAATAGGAAATGAAACTATAAAGGCCCTAAATTTGTGATTTACACAATCGTGGATTTTATACACATTACTATAATTACAATATTGTTATTTCCTAAATTCAACGCTCCCCCTCAAGCTAGTGTGAAGATATTCAACAAACGTAACTCGCCAATGGATGACTGGAGTAATGATGGCCCTACAGACATGGCGAACATGTCTGCTAACTACTGAGAAGAAGAGACAAAGAATGAACTCACAATACAGTCTGAACCTTTTCTCGAATGAAATGTATATCAATCTCTATATGCGTAGTACGCTCATATAGGACATAATCATAAGACAGCATAATAGCAGACTTGTTGTCACAAACAAAGAGGCAGAAGTTGTCTCCTCAAATCCCAACTCTGTCAGAATAGAACGAAATCATAGAATCTCACATGTTCTCTGTGCCATAACCCGATACTCAGCTTTTGCAGAAGACCTAAAAATATCTGTCTGCTTCTTACTTTTCCATGATATAAGATGATCACCATAGAAAATACAAAAGCCATAAATAGAAATGATAGGTGCCCAAGATGCTGATGCCACACCCATAGGTCTTCCTTGGTGGTTGAAAACTTGATGAAATAAAGTGCCAGCTTGTCCACCTGATCCAGAATATAGAGACCATGTTCCACTTTACCACTGTCAATAGTCTTCCTCGTGACAAGGTCATGAAACAAACAATGATCAAGAAAGAAAGTCACACTAATTTAGGTCATGACTAAGATGACTCAATGATAAAAGATCAGAGAAATTAGGAACATGCAAAACAGAAGATAATGGTAGAGAAGGAGTGGCGTGGATTAAACATTTCCCAGAAACAGAAGAAACAGTACCATCAGCAATCCTAACTTTGTCCTGACCTGAAGATGGTTTATATTTTGAGAACAGATCAGAAGACCCAGACATATGATTTGAGGCACCAAAATCAATAATCCAAGGTAAAGACATCTGAGATAGAAAAGCACTTGGAGAAGCGGCTAAGTTACTTGAGTGGGCAAAAGACGAGGAGGATGTACCGGATGGAGTAGTAGAAAAGCAACGATCCAATAGGTAGAGCAAAGCATCCTCTAACTCAAAAATAGACATTCTAGAAATATCACCACTAGGAGGATCAACTGAAGAGGCGTCAGGAGTATCCACTATATTGGTATGATGTGGACGTGGATTAAACCCGCGTCGTCGAGACTGTCCAGAGCGACCCCCACGATTACCAGAACGGTCACCACGACCACCAGAAGGAACCCCATGAAGCTTTCAAAAAGTCTCAGGGATATGTCTCGACTGGCTACAATAATCACATAACAGTGTATCTTTCTCTGAAGGACTAGGGAAAGTATGAGGCAGACTAGTACCATCCCTAGAAAGAGCAGAAAGTAAGGCTAAGCACTCTGTAGAGGTAGGTGGCAAAGTATGGGTACCCAGGTCCATGTTTTCAAACTCATCTCATGAAAACTCATATTTCGAATAAAGAAGTTATGAATTTAGCATTCATGCTCTTCATGCTCTTCAAAAGGGAAACCCAGACTTCATTTCCTTGAATGTGGTCGTCGGGAACACACCTCGGCCAAAAGGTGTGGGACCTCGACCTAGACCTGGTTAGTACCCAGCATGTTTTCTCGAGATGAAAAGGCAGTGTTGTAACTCCCAGCACGTTTTGCTTTGTTTTGACTTGATTTTTGAAAGAAATGCCGAGATCCTTTCCTGTCATGTGAAGCTCGTTTTAAGGATGCATTTCATATCCATCTTTGAGCATCTCACCTTGTCTTAATGAAACGCATTCAATCGGATTTATTATGTGCTTGTGGTTTGGATGATGATAGGACGCCGATCCATTCGGGGACTGAGGGTTTGGAGTTTCAACCAAAGGTCACAACTAAGATGACATTTTCTCTTGATCAACTCAAACAAATTAAGGACAATCTTAATGTGGTAAGTAGTAAGTGGTGTAGTTTCCTCAGGTCTACTACTTACATAATGGAGTCCCAACATGATAAATAAAACGTAGTTATTTTGTCGCATTCTTTCAAGTTCATGAGTAGAGTTGTCGGAATACACATTAGACAAAGTAATTAGAAAAAATACAAAATATACCAAAAAAAAAAGTTATTTTGTTAAGCAAAATGCCTATTAGTGTTAGATTAAAACTCAAAATGCCTTTTAATTAGCTCCATCAACATATTTCTTTTTGTTTGAACATTTTCAATTCCAAGATCAATTTTAATGAAAATTTATACCTTCTATTACAATTGCAATCTAAAGCCTTCTAAATTCATATTGAATATCTTTTTTGTTTTGTTTTTTGGGAATCTTTCGATTGTAACAGACGATAAATGATGTAATTGTGGGTATTATTTACTTGGGAACTCGGATGTACATGAAAGTGGCTGCAGAAAACAATAATGATGAGTTGGGGAATAATAATACAAAGACTACTGGGCTGGTGCTACTCAATACTAGAGCTATAGGCGGTTACAAGTCAGTGAGTGAAATGCTAAAAAAAAATGCTGAGATGCCATGGGGTAACCGTTTTGCATTCTTACATGTCCCAGTGCCACAATTATCAGATGATGAATCCTCAAACCCGCTCGATTATATTCTCAAAACACATAAGATGATCAAGAGAAAACGAAACTCATCCACTGTTTATTTCACTGGTTTGCTGTTAGACACTATGAGAAAATTCAGAGGCTTCGAGGTACATTACAACATCAATTTATGATTGTTATGTCATTTTGATTTTAATTCTCATTGTTTTTAAACTTAGAATAAAAAAAGATATGTTGACATGAATCTTTCACAACTGTTAGTGATGTAGAGCATCCAATCCAAATTGTAGCAACTCATCATTTGAGATTAAACTCAATCAGGCTTACTCGTTAAACTCATTAGAAATCTACCATTGATTAATTTGCTATCATATTAGTTAAATTTTGCACAAATATAAAATATGCCTCTTCAATCCAGTCACTTTGTCTGTTCGCTTTTCTATCCATTTCAAGTTAATTTAAAGTGAATTAATGGAGTGTAGCCTTGCAGGCAACGATGGATCTAGGGGGGCGACCACACCTCAAAAAATTTGAAATATATATATATTATACTAAAAAATTTAAAATTATAAAGGTTTGCACCCCCAAACATCTTTTGCACCGTATAGTGATAATCGTATATCCGACCCTACTTGCAGGCAACATCCAGGTACATCAAAGGCACATTGGAGAAGTCGAGCATCGCGATCACAAATATGATTGGACCCATTGAAAAATTTTCTATGGCTAATCATCCTGTCAGCGACTTCTACTACATAGTCGGTGGCTGTCCACTGGTATTTTTAATCCTACACTTTCTTTTTTCATTTAGTATTTTTTTGGAACAATACTATGAGATTTTGCATCTGAATGGAATTGCAGAGTCTAGTGGTGACAATGGTGAGCTATATGGGAAAGTTGAATGTTGTCTTTGCAACAGAGAAAGGCCTCATAGATACAGAAAAGTACAAGTCATGCATTGAAAGTGCCTTTCAGATGACATTGAAAGCCACTGACCACTCTGTTTCATAAGCAAATTCTTAGGATCAGTTCTCTGAAAAAAATACCATATCTCATTTGCACTTTTGTTCTTGATTGTAGTATGATTCAACAACACATATATATGTTAAACTATATGTGTGTATGTTATTTCTGTCAATTTATTTTTGAACAGTGAGATATATCTGTACGTGTGTGTAGACAGAATATGAATATGATGAAAATAATGGATGGTGACGTGATGATCATTTTTGTATCATCATTGGCCTTGTTTGGGAAAGGCTATTAATTGGCTTTTTAGGTTAAAATTTACAAAAAGACAAAATAGGTTAAAATAGTTAATAAAACAAAATGTCACATCAAATCCATAATTATTTCATTTTTTTTTTTTACAAACATCGTATCCAACTACAAAAAAATCTAACCATCTTCCTAAACACAAAATTTGTAGCCTACTAAAATAGTCATAAACCAAAATAATCTACTAAAATAGCCAACTTTCCAAACAAGGCCAATATCTACTCTCGCTACAGTCTTTCTAATCCTCTCCCTCCCTCTCTTGCTGTACACATATATGTATATTTCTGTTACTTTTTGTTTTTGTAATAAATTTTTTATTTGGTTCAATTAGAAAGTTTCATTACATTAATCTTTATGAGGAAAATTAGAAAGGGAAAATTAGTAATACCTTCCATAAAAGATGTTCATATTAGATATAATCCATGTAAAAAAGTCTTTAAAATTGAAGTCCGTCAATTTTGCAGAGTGAGATGCATGTTCTATCATTATATAAATTTTTTTGTCTAACTCCTCCATCCTAGCTCTTTCTCATTCCACCCAACAACCTAGTTGATGCAAACCCTAGCTATTGGAACCACCCAGAACCTTCTAACCCCTGCTCGTGGAGATCCCACCCCACCTTTTCCACTACTGCAAATTTTTGTTAGGTGCAAGTATTACTTGTGTTGGACGGAAGTATATTAGTGACATAGGTGGAAGATGATAGGAAAGGAGTGGGAAAGTGGGCAAGAGAGGGGTTTGAAATGGAAGAGGAGGACGAGAGAGGACGGAGAAGACTTAGCCCTCGTTTGGCATGGGCTATCAAATTAAAATAGTTATAAAAAGACAAAATAAGTTAAAATGTCAATAAGATAAAATATTACATTCAAATTATAATTATTTTATTTTTTCTCTCACAAAAGTCAAAAAATCAAAAAATCCAACTGAAACGAGGCTTTTAGCCATATACTAAAATAGCCAAAAAGTCAAAAAGTAAAAAATCCAACTCACTTCTCAAACGAAGCCTTAGGTAAAGTGGAGGAGTAATTGTCAGCGGTAGTACAAGAATTACAGAAAAAAAGAAGAAGAAAAAGAAGATAATGATGAGGTTATTTTCGTAAATTAAAAGGTAATTTCCATCTTTTTGTATATAATTATGGATGATTCTACTTACATCACTACTTTACCTTTTTACACCCTCCATATGAGTTTTTTTTTTCCTTTCTAATTTTATCTGTGTGAAATTCTCTTTAAGAACAAAACTCTAAAATTAAATATATTTTGTTATCTTCTTACACCCTTTGGTCTTCAATCCCTACTCCTCTTTTTTCTTTCTTAATTTTTCTTTTCTCTTACACATCTCTTTTCAAAAAGTGAGAATCATAGTATTTTGATCATTAAAAAAAACAATGGATGAAGAAACGTTGGTGAAGAACCATCAAAAAAGTGAAAATGGCGAGTTTTTGTATTTATTTGGTAGGTTTTTGTTTTGTTTTTCTAGACTGGTGTTCGACTTTCGTTCGGTGGTTCGAAATCGAACAAAATAAAATAGTTCGGCATCATATTGCTGAACAAAAAATATAAGTCTGGTAACCAACTACTGAATAAAAGATACATTTCCGGTAACCCCAAAACGATTTTTTTTATATTTTTAATATTTTGTCCTAGAAGGATTATACTTATACTCATTGTAACAACGCAAGTACTGTAGTATTAGTGGACTTTAGTTATGAATTCATTATAGACGAGGTTTGTTAAGTTTTTTTTATGAATACGATTTTTTATTATTTTTAATTTGTATTGAGTTTTATTAATAATTTGACGTATAAATGTATTAATTATCTTTAGATTTTTTTTGAAGTCGTGAAGCATTAATTAAATAGGCTTCTGACATTAGGAAGAAAACTAGATTTGTCGTTGTTATAAAGACATCAAATGCGGGAGGCAATGACATAAAACCAAAACTTACACTTACTTGTAAAAGAAGTGGTTACTATAGAGACAACAGGAAGATCAAAGGAGAACGATTGAGGTTGACAGGTTCTAAAAAGTCTATTTCTATTAAGGGTGGAAAAATTACCTATAAATTACCAAGACAAATTGTGATAACATGTTTGATTGATAGATGCAAACAATGACAGGTTTTATGGATAATCTATGAATATTCGTACACTTGATATTTTTATGGATAATTTTATGGATACTTTTTAGGTATGATTTTATGGATGCGTGTTTGTTTTATGAATTTTTTTATGGATGCTTCAAGGAAAAAGTAAGGCTCTGTTTGGAATGATTTTCAAACTATGATTCCACCTCTTTATTTGCGTTCGATGTTTGTTTATGGTTTTCAAAGTTAATACCATACTCAGTTTTGAAAACTCTGCCAAAAGCGAGAAAATTTGGGCTAACCGGTCGTACCACTGGTTGACCGGAAAAGTGCAATTTTTTTTTTCTTTTTTGCAATTGACATATGTTAATTATTATGTATTCGAATTTTTTTTTCTGAATTTTTAAATTTTTTTATGTATTTTAATAGAATTTTGAGTTGTATGTTTGGTTATGAGTTGTAAGTTTTTGTATCAAATATCATGTCACATCAAAAAATTCCCATTCAATTCAAAACTATTTTCAAAACTCTTTCACCAAACAAATTTTCCATACTCAAATCATAATTCTAAAACTCACAAACTCAAAATACAACTCTTACTTTCAAATTATAGTTAAAAAGCTCTACCAAATGCAACCTAAATCTTTTAATGTACAGCGACAAGGGCCTAGACAACTCTATTGTAATTTGGCAACATGATACTAGAGTAACCCAATTTGTATAACAATGTATCACTAAACATGCACTTTATAAGTGACCCAAATTAATTTCTTGTTATCATCTAATTGGACGACAACATGATGTTGGGAAAAAAATATTGTCCGATAACAAGGCACTGGAGTAATTCAAATTAATTAGCGTTGTATTACCGAAAAGGCCGACTATAAATTAAAAAATCATTGTTTGGAAGAAAGTGTCTTTGTAAATGTATAGCAACAAAATGCTAGAAAGATCTATTTTTTCTAGCAACATAACACCGGAATAATGTAAATTATTTAGTACCGTGTTACCAAAATTAGCGGTATAAAGAGATGAAATAGTTAATTTATGGTTAGTTTTGGTAATATATTGGGGGTGTAATGATAATTACATTTTTTTTAGTGGTGTAATGAGATGGAGGGTGTAAAGAGGTTAAATAGTGATGTAAATAGAATCACCCTATAATTATTGAGTTAATTACCTGAAAATCCTTTTCACAAATGTTAGGGTAGCTCAGGTCCTATCTAAGATTTTTTGAACTAATAAGTCATATTTAATAAAAATGAGAATATTATCAGTTTTTCCTAAATTTTAAAATTAAGAATATTATCAATTTTACATAATAATGTTTTAGATAATTGTTTCACTAATTGAGGAAAAAAATAAAAAAGAAAAAAAGAAAAAGAAAGAAAGCATGAGATTAAACGTTTTTACCCTCCTACTTATTAGTTTGATTCAATTATCCACTAAAATCGAGAACATCACAAGTTTTTTCATTTTTAAAGTTTTAATTTTTTTTTATTTATTTTTTAATGTTCTATCATCATACTCTTTTATAGATACAAAATTTTCAGTTTTGCACAAAAAAATAATTCAGTTTTTTCATTTTTTCAAAAAAAAAAAAAAAACTAATTTGAAAATTAAAGTTTTAAAAATCAAAATAAATGTCAAATCATCATATTTTTTTTTTATAGATAATCATAAATGATAAAAAATTATTATTTAAAGGACAATTCTGATTATTAAAATTTTAATGAGACTTAAATATCTAAAAAATCTTAGTTAAGACTTAGATTATAAGTACATAAATTAAAACTTGTGTGTATATGCCCCAATATTATTTGAGGCGTAATTCCAACCAAAAAAAAAAATTTAATTTGTAAATATGAGCTCCAAATACCAATGTTACGTTATTTTCTCACAAAATAAAAAAAAAATTATGATAAATTACACTGGCAACCTTGGTGTATAACAATAAAATCATACCTCCGTCCTTCTTACTTTCTAAAACGGGCTTAGCTTCTCTTTAGTCTCAGATTTGTAACGCCCTCAAAATAATACATAACTCAATCATACATAAGATCCATAATCATAAAGAAATAATACATTTTCACCCATCAGAGTCTTCTTACAAAAGATGTTACATGTTAACAACAAAAGTAGATGCCCTACGGGCTTACAACTTTCCAAGTTAACACTTGGTTACAACAAAAGAGGGTCAGAAGCCCTTTACAATTGAAGCCCTTTACAATTAAAGCCCTTGGCTTGGAAATAAAAACATATAAACATAAAAGCACAACAACAAAATAGAAACTTCAGCCCGGAGACCTTCCAAGCTAAGACCTTGGAGGTGGCATGTCCCCTGTACCTGAAAATGCCGTCCCAAGTAGGGTGAGCCAAAGCCCAGTAGAGATATGCTAAACCAAATATGAGAAATAACTAAAACATTAACATTTGATAAATGTTCAACACATGTACATCGACTAAAATCATTTCTATAACCCATCAACATTGATATTCATCTTTCAACCTAGTTTCATTTATATTTCCAATTCACTTTATTAACATAACTCATTTATCCGAGTAATTCAAATGAGACTACAACTCATAAAGACAACACTTCAATTCATCGATTGTTCAAAGTGAGACTACAACTCATAAAAATAACAACACTTCAATTCATCGACAATTCAAAATGAGACTACAACTCATATTATCAACACTTCAATCATCAACGTTATTCAAACGTATATAAGATTTCGGGACTTTCACCCTGGACACTCCGGCCAACTTAATCATCAATAGAGTCCATCCTCTATCTCCTCCCAAACAGTAGAGTACATCCTCTATCTCCTCCCACACACTGGAGTACATCCCTTATCTCCTCCAACACA